ATTGATCATATTGATCTCCTGGGAAATGTTGATGATGGTTTATTAGGGTTTAGATTAATCCAGACTGATCATCCTGGATGTCTGAGCAAAACTGAAAGAGCCATGCGGTACCGATACCGGTCCAGCTGCGGTCATCCTTCAGTTGAGCCATGCCTGCTTTGTGAATGCACCTTTATGGACAGAAAGCATCTCTATTCTGTAAATATACAACTTCTGCACATGATTCCACTACTTTGAATAAATGTCCACATTCCCACTCAAAGGACTCTCTGACAGGCTGTCAGCACTACTGTTCACACAGGCATTTGCATCTCTTTATTTATTTTTTTTTCTCTTTAAAATGTATTATTTTTATTTTTGTGAGGTTACCTCATGTGCCCCGACAGCTCCTTTTAAATAAAATGTATAGTTATTATTATTATAAATATTTATACTGCTACAAACAAGGATGTTGCCATGGTTATTGCTTCATGTTGTGGCAGACGTCCAGGTATTTATACTAATTTACATACGTATTTATGGGACCAGCAGCTGCAAGGAAAGCTGCGCAGTCACGTGCCTTGCGCATGGCTTTATACAACCAAATTTTTTGTGGGCCGCACTTATCAACATTTTTCAATACGCCAAGTTTTAGTGTGAAAACAGCACAATCTTTTATGCATGAGGCCCCAGGTAAGTAATGACTGAATGGCACACATCTTAGCTATTTTTTGATCATGTATGTCAGGCTGCATAGGAATACCTGTTCCACATGCCTGAAAAGTTACTGCTTTACAACAAACTGCACCCCTTTGTAGCCACAGCTCACATTTATTGGTTTGGGCCCAGTTTGATGCATCAATCTTTAATTTAACCATCAAACATATGATGTAATAATGACAAAATATGATGGGATGTTATACACCTCAAGAAATTAAATAAAATCAAGTTTTTTAAATGAAAGAATCATTTTCTTTCGAGGAAATTTATTTATTTATTTGGCACATAAATATATGGATATATTTCAGTATAGTTTATTTCTGTCTGTTCAGCTCTTTGTAAAAGACTGAATCCCTCAAATACACAGTTCATTTGAACAAAGTTTGTTTTAATCTCACCTTGACTGCTGTGAATTCTCTCCATGCCCAAACAAAGAGAGGCGACAGGCCCGACACGATCAGGACGCTGGTGAAGCGCCTCTTTATCACCAAAGGATGATCTCTGAAGACAGAGAACAAATATTAGGATCAAAGTGCACGAGTGAGATTTAGACGCCACAAACACACTGACATGTCATGACATGTTGCTGCCACTTGGGAGCTTTTCTAAGACAGTTAATCTTTGATAGTGGAGGAGATATACCTTGTCTGGTAAGCCGATAGTTTGCTTTGTGACTAAAGAAAAACTGGATCTATGTTAAAACAGTTCAATAAGCTGAAGACAGCAGCTGACAGGATGCAAGTAAATCTATAAACAATCACCTTTAGAAAGCCCCAGTAGCAACAAATCTCCATTTCTAAACTGCTTTAACTTTATTGTCATTTTGTGAAATAGGTGAAAACTATCACAATCTTTCATTTGACACACATTTTCTTTCATATACTCAGTGAAGCGTTTGGAGTCGTAAAATGTGGGTTTAAGTGGTGAGTTAAAATGAACAAGGAAGAGAAACAGAAGAACTACAGTCAGAAATATGGGCTACTTGACAAGGTTTATTGGGATTTTTTTTCAGCTAGAGACAGGATGGATGGAGATAAAGAGGGAAACTGAGAACAAATTATTTTCTGTTTTTCACGTGTTTTATCAACTAGTTTTAATAGATTTTGCATTTACTGTAGAAGAATCCAGATCAGTTGAGCATTCTAGGTATGTTCTGGAGCAACCGTAGCTTAGAGCAGCTAAATACCGCGGAATAGCCTTTAGTCTAATGCTCGTTAAAACTCACCTGGGCAGGTCGCTCCTCCAGACATACAAGCTGCCAACATAGCAGCAGGCAAGCAGTAGACAGGACAACACTGACAGCCAGCACAGTCCACCCGAAGCCTCTTCCATCTGCTCTGTCACAATGCCTTCCTCCTCCGCCATGATGGCTCACACAGGTGAAGAAGGAGCACTAAGCAGAGCCGGGCTGGCTTCTGGACCATCTGGCACGCGCCAACATCAGCACAAATCAGAAGAATCTGTCAAAACTCTATTATACCTGTTAGTTCAACTGCTAGCGATTCGGCGCTTTCTAACTGCGTCATCATCGGCTTCCTTCCTTTTCCTCGGTATGTTGTAGTTTGAGATACCTCTGGGTATGTTATCGCCCCCAACAGGTGGAGATACATATGTAACCCAGGGTTCTAGAAGTTTGTCTTCCAGCCCCTATGCAGCACTCTTAATGTGAATCAAAATGGTTTAGAGATTAATTCTATAAATTAGAATTTTATTGAAAATTCCATTCATTTCAGGAACTTTATCACTGTGAAAGTGATAATGGAAACATATTACATAGATTAACTACACACAGACCGGCTTCCACAGCCTTTCTTTCTGTTAATTACAATGATTTAATCCTGCTTTCGTTAAGGAAAACATGACATTTAAAATTAAAATATTACAACAAATAATTTAACAAAAATAAAAACATTTTATTGGAAACTGCCACTGAGGAGATAATCTAGATTAGAAGATTTTTTTTAGGTGTCTGTGAAATTTTATGTGGCTGTATGATGCAATGGGATTTGAAGACATTCAAAATAAAAACAAAATTTTAAAAATCAAGGAAAATGTTAGCTTTTTAAAACATGCAATGCTTAGAAAAATATCTTAGGATCGGAGGTATAGATTACCCAAAAATTGCACTCAAGTAACTACGAGCAGAACATTCCTCCAGGCCTTGCAGCCATAGGAGGGACTGACCCTCCAGATCTTTTTATTATTTCCAAAGAATATTATGATCTCTGTCTCGTTTTCAGCAAACACAGAGATGAACGACGGTTTGTCTATCTTATGCATTCCTTGGGTTGCTATTTTCTTTAGTGGTATTTTCACATTTTTGTTTTTTTCTATGTTTTTTTCTGTGGACTTTCTTATTTGTTGGGATCATCAAGTAAAGCATTGACAGCTTAGCTTTACATTTAATTACAACTGGTAAAACATATTTACCAGTTGTAATTAAATTTCCTGTTTTGGGTTCTCACTGTTGCTTCAGCTTCCTGGCCACAGTCTGAAATCACTGTTGGCTATTCAGTCAACTGGTCTCTAAATTCTAAATAAAAAATACATTTCATGAATAAAATATCAAAAATAAAACATCAGGTCTGCACAGTGGCACTGTTGGTAGCACTGTTGCCTTGCAGCAAGAAAGTCCTGGGCTTGAATCCCAGCCTGGGGTCTTTCTGCATGTGGTTTGCATATTCTTCATCTGCAGGGATGGGTTCTCTCCAGGTACTCCAACTTCTTCCCACAGTCCAAAAAGATTTTGTGCACATTAGACAATAGATGGAGATGGAAGAAAATGTAAACTTTATAATTATTATTAATACTAATAATAATTGTAATTATTACTTTTAATGATGGTAGTAGTAGCAATACAATACAAAAACATAATGTTATTATGTTTAATATTATTATTATATTTCCACGCAATGAACAGAACATTTAGTCTGTAACAGGTTTAACAGGCCCGTTTAAGGGCGGCGACTGTCAGGCTGCGAGGCCTCAGCCAACTATACCCCTGTCCTGACCTTTTTATCAAGCTGTCATAGTCAGTGATGTAACTTTTTTTAACGACATTACATCACTGATTGTGACATCACTCCATTGTGACATAATTGACTGTGACATCACATCACTGACTGTGACATCACATCACCGACTGTGACATCACATCACTGACTGTGACATCACTGACTGTGACATCACATCACTGTGACATCACTGACTGTGCATTACTATTTTCTCTTGTAATTTTATTTCCTCTGTTGGTTTTGGGGAGTGACCGCTGTTTCTATGCCACAGTTAGCAGCTGTAACAGAAATGTAAACAATGTTCAGAGGAGGCAGATGTCCAATTTGTTGCTGGAAGAACTGGAAAAGCTCAATGTCATTTTTAAAGGTGGCGGAGGGTTGTTGTCAGCAGCTGCTGAAAGTAACTAAATAAATAATCAGTAATCTAACTAAGTTACTTTTTCAAGGAGTAATCAGTAATCTGACTAAAGTTACTTTTTCAAAGTAACTGTGCCATCACTGGTTGTGTTTCTTTTCAGTTGAACCCTTTTAAGAGCAGTGTGCACTCTGTTCTTGCTGGTGTCATTCTTCCAGGATTGCCACATCATCCAGCTGTTCGGTAGGAGCGACAGAGGCCTGCTCACTGACTGTGGAGCCAGTTCAAAGTATTAAGGAGAGAGAAGAGAGATGAACCAGAACTGAGAGCAGTCAGACAGAAACCAGTGAGCAGTCAGGTGACAAGTTAGGTGACAAGGTGACAGCTGGTCTCTAATATGCTCTGTGAAGCTACATCATCTCCTGATGCTGTGTTCAACCTCGTAGAGTGTTTGGGTGCGTGCTCCAACAGTTTCAAATAAGAAGCTCTTTGCTTCTCTGCCAGACTCCATCAAAGTGTTTGCTGCTGTCTGACCAATGGGATGATGACAATGTGTGTGTCATCATCATAATGTTTCCTTCCATTACTGTCTCTCCTGCTTTTCCATCAGTAGGCAGGATGTCTGTCTTCAAAATCTTCACTGCTAGGATGCTTTGAAGTCTTTGGGAAGAAAGTCTTGTACAGTTTCAGTGTGAAGGTTCTGAATTTACTCTCTGTCGTAGAGCTACAGGCATTCAGGTGGACTGAGTTGTTTACTGCTATTCATGATTTCAATGACTTTCTTAACAAAAGTGTTACTCTGTAACTTCTGCTTTCTCTGTGAAATACAACCCTTTACATTTGGAAATCATTGCAAATAAGCAACATCAATTTAGATTTTGAGCAAAGTGTAGCTGGTTTTGACATTCCTTTTGACCCAACTTCCTTCACCTTGCTAAATCTCTCTTTCCTGCCTCTCTCTCTATGTGTGTGCGTGTGTCTGTGTGTGTAGGTGTGTTTGTGTGTATGTGTGTGTGTGTGTGTGTGTGTGTGTGTGTGTGTGTCTGTCTGTGGAAGAGTGAGGTGAGCTCCCACAAAGGGCTTGTTTGTTCTTTGTCACGGTAGTGAAGAGTAGGAGTGACAGCGAGCTGCGCAGTTACTCAGTGATATCCAGTTGAGCGTTCCTGCTGGAACTATTCAGGAGGAGGAAGAGAGACGACACAGAGCTCCGAGCTGAGAGGATAAAACCAGCAACTGGTCAGGCGACAAACTGGTTGAGAGGAAATCTGCTGGAAAACAAGGTCAGTTTGATTTGATGACAGGTTGATGGTTTTTTTTCTCATTCTAAGATCAATAGTAAGAGCGATTTAATGACTTTGCTTTACATGATTACTCTCATAGGCTGCGTCCTAAACTTTTATTGACAAATGCTGCTGATTATAACTGAAAATTAGAGAGAAGTCAAACAGATGAATTTTTAGCCAAAAATATCTTGTTCGTCGAATTTGGAGCTGATCGGAGAAGAACTTTCTCTGTGTCCCTGAAGCAGGAAATACTACCTGTGTTCATAAAACCGAAACATAAAATATTAGTGAGGCCTTATACCTCACAATATTGTCAGCACCAATATTCAGGTATTATAAAGATGAATGTTAAAAGGGCTGCAATTTCAATTAATTTGTAAAGCATGTTTCTTTATTTACTCATATACTCACTTGCATTTATTTGTATGTGTGTGTGTATGTGTGTGTTTATTACAAAATATTATTTGCAACAAAGACTTGGAAACTGTATATATTGTGAAATCGTACGTGATGTGAAGACCAAGATGTGACGTCTGATCTCATTTCCAGTCATGATGCCTGGGGCTGCAGGAAAAAACAAAGAAAAAAAAATTATCACCTTCCGTATCACACAATGCATGTCTCACTTTATCTGCACCTTTGCAAATATGTGGCTTAGCCATTTGCTTAGATGTGATATTCAAATCATTCAGATTAGCATCCACCTCACTGAAGCACTATTTTAAAACATGGCTCTGTTTTGTTTTCACATATTGGGTGGGAAAATTTCATGGAGCAATATATTCAGTTTCTCAATGAGTCCAGCATGTTCCACTTATCTAACCATGAAATACTGACAATCCTGTCGCAAGTAGAGATTTACACACTGCAGGGTTTGGCTCGCCTTAGTTGTTGGTTAAGCAGGAACAGCTCTGTGTGTTTCAACTTGACATACACACGCAATTTATTCTCATTTAAACTATTTTTTATCTCAATATTTTAAATAATAATTAAAACAACCAATATGAAAATGTGTATTTATTTATTTATTTATTTATTTATTTATTTATTTATTTTACTAACATCTGCAGTTTAAAAAAAATACTTATTGTTGACTTTAGGCAAAATTAAGAACAAGTCTTTAGTTTAACTGAGGAGTAGGAGGGATGCATGATGTCCATGAAGTCAGGGCAGTGAGGGAGTTTGACTATATGACAAACATTCTCAGTTTATGTTTTGTCATCAAATGTGTGGTGAAGAAGAGACCCATACAGATGTTATACTAAACTGTAAACGCTCTATAGCTGCTTCTTGATTAAGTCTCACTCTGGTGGGTTAATGTCTGATCCGGTTCTAGCTATCTTGATTCCGTCTTCCTTGTGTTCTGCTTTCTCACTATTGCGAACATGAATATGGGAAGGAACGTAGGAACGTGGGTGGAACATGAGCACACAGGAGCTGTGGTCGACGCTACGATGATATTTGAAGAAAAAACTTATCAATGGAGGACCGTGAGGCTGTGGGCCCAGCGGTGGGACAGAATAACATGACTGACGTACGGAGGCCTCAGTCCACCACGCAGCCGACCTGTTGACCTTTGCAGCAGGCCTTCCCCCTCTCTCACAACCTGCTTTCCTGTCAGTCTACTGTGAAACAAAGGCAACTAGAGACAAAATAAAAATCCTTAAAAAGAACTCCTAGACTGTGGTTTTGATGGACTCAAATAAACTCAGATATTCTATTTTGTCTTATATAAGCTCAATGTGGCTCAGACATAATGAAAACAACTAATATTAGCTGATTAGTTTATTATATGTACAAATTTATAATATGGTATTCGGTTTATATTAACATCCAACCTTTTTGGATTTAGTTAATGCAGTGAAAGATGGACACCAATATCCACACATGAACGTTATTGAAAAGAAAAACTCAAAGTATTTGTGCATCACTCCAAACTAATGTTATGTAGTCCTGATGCAGAACTGTAACTCTGACAGTTTCTTGCTTCTTCGTCGCCTGGCCGTTCTGTCATTGCTCCTGGAGATGCTCATTCTTCACAATGAGCAGGTCTGACAGCTGATGCCATGTCCGCCCCTCCATTTCGGTGGTTGAGGTGTGTTGATTGGAGTTTGTAAGTTCTCCAATCAACACACCTTTGCCCATGCAGTGAATTAAATTATGGGCCAATAAACGAATGCAGTCTGCTTGTGAGGAATGGACAGCTGGGGTACAAAACATAGAGAAGAACTGAGCAGGATCTGCACCTGGAGGTGAATCTGACAGCAGCCTAACCGGTTAAAACCACGGTCATGGAGAAGGAGCCATTTGTAAACAGTTTGGACAAACCTGAGTGGAATGTCCTTATCTGGAGACTGAACACGTTTTTCCCCATACTGAAGTATTTCAGAGTCACGGTGCAGATGTCTCTTACCAATAACAGGAAAATAACCCTCCAGATGCCCTGAGCTGATTTTTTTTTTTTTTTTTTTACATTTGGATTACTCTAGCATGAGAATTTCACTGATTTTAATCAGTGAAATTACAATCACTGTAATTTCACAGTGGTTGTGAAATTACAGTGAAGTTACTGTGAAAACCAGCAAACTGGTTTTCTTACAGCAAATCAAAGAAACCAGGAAATCAGCACAAACTGGTGACGTTTCTCACCATCTTCTGATATGGAGAAAATTTATGGGGAGATTGCAGTAAATAATTTTGCTTCACAACTGTTTAAATAATAGAACTACATGGCTCTTAAATTCACCTTGTGTGAATCTGGCAGCCAACTACCAACAGAACAACATATAGTGACACATTTCTTCTTTGTCTTTCCAAACATCACTAGTTTGTTTTCTGTATGTTTGTTCTCTTCAGATGGAGGTCTACACTGTCACCGTGGCAACCGGGACATCAGAGTACTCGGGCACCAACAACTACATCTTCATGACCCTGATAGGGGAGAAAGGGGAAAGTGAGCGCACCCTGCTGGACAACCCTGGACTTGATTTCTGTCGAGGAGCAGTGAGTGTGTGAAATTCAGTGGTGACCGTCTGTCCCATGATGAAGACACTGCTTAGGAGCAAGGCTGGGTTATATCTGCAGAGACCCCTATAAGCACAAACTAATGCTGCAGTTAGATTTTATTCGTGAATTGGCTGCATGAGTAAAAATGTTGCTTTGATCGAAAAAATATTCTACAATCTTACAAAAATGTCTCCTCAAATTAAAATAATCATATTGATCATAACTATCTTAATGGTCATAATAATAATAATCAGCATTATCATGAGAATGCACACATGAATACCTGCACAAGTCCTACTGAAATGATGTTAAAATGTTCATAACTGAACCCAGACATGTTCAACTTACAGATTTCCCTTTTCTTTCCAATTGTCATCAGGTGGACCAGTACAGGGTGACCAGCAAGGAGCCTTTAGGGTCCCTCTTACTGGTTCGACTGGAGAAAGAAAAGTATTTTGTTGAAGACAACTGGTTCTGTCGATATGTCACAGTGGAACCTCCAGGAAAAAAGCGACTTTTGACATTCCCATGTTACCGCTGGCTTATAGGAAATGCCAGGGTGGAAATAAGAGAAGGAACAGGTAGGAGGAATTTCAGACGTTTGCATTAAACTACCAAGACTCAACTTCAAATGAGTTAAGATGATGTACATTTAAAGAATTGAAAGTGAATGCTGCTTGCATTGACATGTTGAAGTTTCTTCACATACCTAGTTTCACTCTGACATCTACGTGGCCCATATGTTTGGTTATTGAATGATCCAAAAAAAATGATGGCAGCGCTCCAACTTCTCCCAACATGCATTGAGAGGAACATAGATCTGTTTAGGTGAAGACTCCAACAACTCTTTAAATACTAAGGAATAACTTTATTATTAGGCCGACATGTATTGGTCAGTGTAGCCATTATCAGGGTCTTTACAAAACACCAATCATTTTCAAATGAATCAATCACACGTTCAGAGAAGGTTCAGATGATTGTCTCTGATGGTGAGGGATGATTTGCTGTTCTTCTCATTTAGATCATTTACGTCTCAGGAACAAGAATAGCCAAACTGAATTTACGTGTCGTAGCCATTATGGGTCTGAAGAGTCGTTAGGTTTCATGTGTCGATGGCGAAAACTCTGCAGGTGAACCGTGGTGACACACAGGTCTTCATCTGACTCCGCTCCACTTGGTTACACACAGTTCACTGAGAAATAAATGTTTAAGCCACACTCCCCGTTTGGAAGGTACATGGTCTGATTTTGGGTAAAAAGAAAAAGACGGCAAAGAACAACAGTTTTATTCACACATGCTGCCAAATCCGCATGTTAATCTGGCCTAACAACAGAACATGTCTGATTTTACTTTCTGCATTCACAGCAAAGACTCTGGTGGATGACTCCTCAGCAAAGTTGCTGCAACACAGGAAGGCAGAGTTGCAAGAGAGACAAAATACCTTCAGGTCCCACAAATACAATAAAACAATGAAGAATTATTTCTTTTCCCACCACTGTGATTTAAAGCTTGTCTGTGTTTGTCAGGTGGGTAACGTGGGCCACAGGGATCCCTAGATGTGTTGATGCCAAAGCAGAAACTGATTTACCCCAAGATGTTCGCTTCGACAACGAGAAGAGAAGTGATTTCGAACATTCATTGCAATATGCGTGAGTGATACACACCAACACACACACAAAAACACACAGATTTGTATTTCTATAAATTTTAGGACTTTTTATTGACTTCTATTCATTTCATTTTAATAAATGCAAACCCAGACATTTTCTCAAACCTAAAGGATATTTTGTCAGAGATTATTTGTATCTCTAAACTAAACCTGTCAGACCTTACCTTACCTTGATACTGTAAATTACAATAAAAGTAAAAATGGGTCTTCTTCCTTAGTTTGCTCGAGCTGTCCCTAAAGAAGCTGGCCATCACTTTTGGGAAATCATGGAGTGACCTGGATGACTTCAAACGCATCTTCTGGAAACTGAGGAGCCCAATAGCTGGTAAGCAAACATATGTCATATATAAGCATCTATTATAGCTGACAGCAAAGATTTTTTTTAGTTTTTATTCCCAAGAAATGATTTTGAGGATTGTTTTTAGTCAGAAGTGTTAGCAAATCCTTCATGGGGGATTCTAAAGAAAGAAACAGAGCAATATGTCAACTCTGCAGAGGAAAGAAAAAAAATCTGAATTATAATTTCAGAATTACACACATTCCAAATAAATTACTTAATTGTCCATAATGAGAGAGTGTTGTGATAATATGCAGTAATGCAGAAATGTTTTTGCTTTCCACCTACAGTTTAATCACAACTGCTGTGTTGATATAATATATATATTACAACATAATTCAACTAATTTTAACTTTAGTTGACTTTATGAATATGGGGCCAGTTCACAACACATATCATTTCAACACATTTTTCAAGTGAAACGGGTTTAATTCAAACCCATCCATGCATTCATCCATCTTCCTCTTATCCAGAGTTGGGATCTCTCTCCCAGCAACTTGGTCCAGCTCCTCTGACGCAGTCCTAGGGTGTTTTGAAGCTAGCCGAGAAACATAATCCCTCCTATGTGTGCTGGGTCTTCCCCTCCTGGTGGGATGTTCTCGTCCAGGAGGCATCCTAAGTAAATGCCCCAGCCACTGCAACTGGTTTCTCTCGACATGGAGGAGCAGCGGCTCCTGTACGACTGAGTTTCTCACCCTGTCTCTCCAGAGAGAGCCCAGACACACTGGGGAGAAAACTCATTTCGGCCACTTGTATCTGTGATCTTGTTCTTTCGGTCATGACCCACAGCCCACGACCATAGATGAGGGTAGGAATGTAGATCAACAGGTAAATCGAGAGCTTCACTTTTAGACTATTCTCTCTTCACCACAACAGGCAGGTATATCACCTGTTCACTGCAGATGCTGCATCTATCCACCTGCTGATCTCTCACTCCATTTTTTCCCTCACCCTTGAAAAAAATTCCCTGAGATATTTAATCATCTGCTTCTGTGCATTTAGATCATTCATGCCTCTGATTAGAATACCTCCTGGTCAAAATTTCCTGGGTACTTCCAACTGAAACAAGACCTGGGCACAGACCCCCATGACCTCTGGAGAATGTACACATTATTTCTGGACTTTTAGTACATGTCTAATGAATATTGCTGGTCAGAGAGGTATCTGAGTTTCCCTGTTGGACATGTAATCCTTCATAACCTAATCTCAGATTAGCAGAAGACACCAGATGATTCATCAGAATTCCCACCACACAGAGGCAGAAGAATGGAAGGGGTGGTCAATTTTAAATAAATTTTTTTAGTTAAAGTTAATTTTTGTATTTAAACCCACCTGTTGTCTTTGTCTCTTGTCGGGTCCTCGTCTAACGTCTGTTTCTGTACCCTGTGCTGCCAGTGATTTTTGGATTTTGAGTTGTTCTCCTGGTTCGTCATTAAATCTTTATTTGCATCATGACTACCTGGTTTCACTGGCGTCTCCCTCACCACTCACAACCACGAATCATGACAATTTTAAAGACATGTATTTTTCAGTTTATGTACCTCTTGCTGGGATTATTTGCCCAAGCAGAACAGGAAGTGACATTGTGAAAAAGGCCCAAAGTAGGGTTTTTAGAAAATAAAATTATTCAATTCACATGAACTTACAAATTAGATTTTGTGCAAATTTTATTTAACATTCTAACACACGTGTTACATCACAAACATCACTATTGTAGCTCATCAATAGTGTCCTAAACTAATGTTTGTTGCTTTTTATAGGACAATTAAGCAGATTGGATCAAGTTGAGTTACTTTTTTGATATTTAAAAAATGTAGTAATGCAAACATGGATGTTGTGATTTAAGAGTATTGCATGGATCACTGGAAGGAGGATTGGCTCTTCGGCTACCAGTGTTTGAACGGCAGCAACCCGAGGATGATCAAGAAGTGTTCGGTTCTGCCGGGAAACTTCCCCGTCACGTCAGACATGGTCCAGAGCTCAATGCCAGCAAAAACCAACCTGGACAAAGAACTCAAGGTAGAGAAAAATTCAGCATCTGTTTTCACTGCAGATGCACTTATTTATCAGATACACTTTTTTCCATTCAAAATTAATATTCTCTAAAGTTACACACTCATGTCCTCTTTTTCTTTGCTCCTGTGTTTAATCTCTCCAGGCAGGAAACATATTCCTGCTGGACTACGCCATCATGGACGGGATTCCTGCAAACACAATCAAGGGCAAACCTCAGTTCATCGCTGCTCCGCTCTGCCTCCTGTACCAGCATCCAGATGAAGGACTCATTCCTATTGCAATTCAAGTATTTCATTTAAACTGGTTGTACTTCACAAAATACTCAATGATTTAACTACAAACGCTGAGAAAGTATTCTGATTCCTAACTCTACTATACTCAAGAGATTAGACTTTAAAAATTATTGGAATTTCTTTACAAATATTTACATATATGTTGCCTTTGGGTAAGTTATATGGAAAATTTCTATAAGGTTTATGACCAGATTATGACAATAAATACGACAGTTAACAAAACTGATGGTTGGTGGTGAAACCTCATGTTTTACTGTCATATGTAGGAGTCAATAATGCCTTCAGTCTCCTTTGCTTCATCTTCAGCTGGAGCAGACTCCAGACCTGGACACGCCCATATTCCTGCCCAGAGACCCTCCTCTGGCATGGCTGCTGGCCAAGATGTGGGTGCGTCACTCAGAATTCCAGGTTTTCCAGCTTTTGTCTCACCTTCTCCGGACTCACCTGGTGGTGGAGGTGTTCTGTGTCGCAACTCTTCGCCAGCTGCCTGCGGTACACCCCATGTACAAGGTAATTATTGCTTGTGGGATCCATCACATTCTGGGCGGTTTCATATGTGTTGACAGATTTGAGTAAATCACACAAATTAAGTTTTGGAATTTGTGGAATTTTCTGACAATTAGTGATATGCTGCTTACATACAGTATATTGTTCCAAAAATGTGTCCAGTTCATGCAGATCATATGTGTATTTGGGAAGGATGAAGAGTTTAGTTGTTGGAACAATGAGGTGATAGAAAAGCTGAGCCATTTCTTTTTTTTTTTTTATTACCTGAAACCTGACTGACTTGTTTGATTTGATAATAGTTAGTATTTTTATTATATCACTAGTTCATGTTACTCCTTGTGTTTCTCACTTTGCAGCTCCTGGCTCCTCATCTGCGCTACACACTGGAGATCAATTGCAGGGGGCGAACTCAGCTAATCTCTCCCAACGGCATTTTCAAACGAGTATACCGCTACGTTATTTGATGAAGTGCAAAAATCTCTAGAAATGCCAACGATAAAAAAAGCAACAATCTTTTTATGGTAACACTTTATTTGAAGGGGTGTGAATAAGACCGACATGATACTGTCATAAACATGACATCTCTTATGAACATGAAGGAGTCTTCATGAATGTTTATGACTGTTGTCATGAAGTGTCATTTGGTAAATAATTACACTTTCAATGCAAAGTTGCACTAAAAGTTGAATTAAAAGTATCAACTTTACATTAAAAGTGTAATGATTTACCAAATAACAGTTTATGACAATAGTTGTAAACATTCATGAACACTCCATGACAGATGTTCTGTCATGTTTATGACAGTGTCATGCCAGTCTGATGCACAGCCCTTCAGATAAAGTGTTATCCTTTTTATTGATGTCATGTGAAAATAACAAAAATGTGTAAGTTCTCTCTCTGTAGCATCAGCTGCAGTCTGAGGATGGTGGTGACTCAGTCCTGTTTGTGGACAGGTTGTGTCTACAGGCGGTGATGGCCTCCTTATTCTTGCCCAGAGGGAATACAAGGTGTTGACATATCGCTCCCTTCAGCCACACTTTGACTTCACTGATAGAGGAGTGTTTCAGGTCCCCAACTATTTCTACAGAGAAAATTCCCTGATGCTGTGGGAAGCCATTCATAGGTACCTTTATCTTTGTACATCTGACTCCTCATCTTTAGTTTTCCTTTATTAGGAAATCTAAGAACCAGTCTTACCACATACCTCAAACCAGTCCTGTTTGTGGTATATGATCTCTCAACTCTGTAGAATGATGTAGAACAATTGTACGATATGATTTTTACAGTGTTGATTCACTATGTTGTCAAACTCTCCTATTCTCCACCTGGACACTCATACAGAACACGTCTCTGAACAGGTCTTTAGTTTCTTGTAGGTGCATAATAAATAACTGCAGATCTCTGCTTAGTTTCGTCTCAGACATGGTGAGTCTGTACTACCACACAGACCAGGATGTGGAGAAAGACCCAGAGCTGCAAGCCTGGATCAAAGACATAGCAGAGGAAGGCTTCACTGAACTGCCCAACTTTGGTAAGTTATTCTTAGTGATTCTTTTTGGAAATAGTTGTTTATTTATTTTGGAAACATGCTAATGAGTGTCCAATGATCAAGCCTTTACTCTTTTGGCTTGGCCAGTTGATGTCTGTAAAAGTGTCAGGAAGCAGGAGAAAGAGGGATGTCTGGGTTGTCAAGGCAACAGGTCTAACACCTGTTGGGCAGATGTTAGACCTGAATCAGCCCAAGGCTCTAATGTCTGCTTCCCCATGTTGTTGCACTTCTAGTGCACTTCCAGCCATTCTAACTTTACTCGAAAATGATCTACTTGTCTTGGTACCATGTGCTCCATACATCCATACCTATATCCGTACATACATACTAGTGTATGTGTCAGGTTGAAGGGAGGTTAATGACTAACTCCAGCTCCCATTGAGTGAGACAGGGCAATACAGAAACACAGAAAACAAGCATTCATTCATGCCCTCAGACCTAAGAGCATTTACTACTAGTCTGCCAGACCATCAGGTGTGGAAACACTCTAAAAGTCCCAAAGCTCATGACATCATTTCATGAGAGAGGTGTTTCTGCATGTCATCTGAAGAGTAGACAAGGTATTACAGATATTTTTTTTTGTCCTCTTTGTTGTGTTAATTTTTTTTAGGTCTGTCAAATAAACTCTGTAGCAAAGAGGAACTGTCCACTCTACTGACTGTGGCCATCTTCACCAGCACAGCTCAGCATGCCGCAACCAACAATGGACAGGTACCAACAAGTAAATCACACAAAAAGCTCTGAAATGACCAAACCAACTAAATTACAGCTTCAAATTTTCTTGCTGGTGGATTAAACCTGAAGGAGTTTAATCCACTGTGGCTGTTCTGTCCACAGTCTCCACTACAACCAATGTTCTGTCATTTTTAGTTTGACTGGTGTGCCTGGGTTCCCAACACCCCATGCACCATGAGACTCCCCCCACCGTCAGATAAAGATGCTGTTACCATGGAAATGATCATGGCCTCTCTTCCTGATGTGGGCCAGTCCTGTGTGCAGATGGCGATCACATGGCATCTGGGACGAGCGCAGCCAGACGCAGTGAGTCTGTGACTTTACTCATTTTGCAGTAAAGGAAAATATGAAGACACCCTTTGAGATTCTGTATGAGCATTTAATTTAAATTTCAACACCACTGAAGAACTTAAGAGGAATATATAATCTAAACAGAAGAGAGTAAAGTTTTCTGTCCAATGCTATTTTAAAAGCCAAGTTTCCTCATTATTTCACTTAAAATGACATATTGCATAAGGTGCAAATCATTAAAGTAGTGCATTTAAAAGTCAGACATTTGGCTGGGTTCACTCTCCTCTGTGGAAGTCATGTGATGATCCAAAGAGCAAACTGAAACCAGAACTATGTCAACAGTTCATGGGTTTGGTCAGAAATTTCAATATTAACTGTATGAGAATTTCTAAAAGTTAGATTTGGCTAATTATTTAAAGAGCTGATTTACTTATAAGGCAAAACTTTATTTTTCAAATGTTTTATTCTTTGGTTACCTGCTGAAAACATCAGAAGGTAACTAGAAAATTCCACAGAAATTTTAAGGGGCCTGCCAACTGTGCCCATCACTTTAAACCCAGCC